TTTTCTTATTTATTTATTTTTATGGTGCTGGGCATTGAACTGCCATGCCCTAAACCTTGCACATGGTAGATAAGCATGCTACTATGAGCCACATCCTCTTCAGTTATTTTAAATGAAGGGACCAAAGGAAGAAAGGATTATAATCCTACTAAGAGGACCTAGAGACTCCCAGGACAAGGTGGCTGGTGCTCCAGGGTAAGCCAGGTCTGTTTCCTCATTTAGAGAATAAACTTTCCAACTTCCACTGCCTGAGTTAGAGGATGGAGTGAGGCAGAGGAGAAAGAGCTTGCTGGTGCCCTGAGACACAGGGCTCACTGATGGCCAAGGTGCTATGTTGGCTCAGGTTCCTGTCCTGCTCTGAGTGTCTCACTAGTGCTCACAACCCCTCCTCTAACTAGGCTCAGCCCTGGGGTAGGGCTGCAGCTAAAATCGCCCAGCCTTCAGAGTCACCAAAGCGAGTTAATAAGTGAGCCTTCTGCTTCCACTCTATCCCCTTCCCCTCTGGGCCTCCATTTCCTCACTGCCCTTGTCCATCTTTCAGACAGTTGTGAAGATTAGTTAAAGGCACCACAGAAGGGGAAGCTGCGTCTGTTGACAGGCAGCCCCCCTCCCTTGGGGATTCCCACAGAGAGGTCCCTGTCCTCAGAACTTGGAGTCCAGTGGTGGGCAGTAGGCACATCCCCAGATACCCAAGGAGCTGTCTGGCACCATCTGACCTGGTCACTAGCACTCAGGGGCAGGTGAGACACAGTGGTGGAGGCAGAGTGCCGCTGCAAGGGGTCTGCCCGGATCGCATCCTGAGGCCAGAGAATTCATTTATGAGCTAGAGCAGGGTGGACAGCCCTGAAGCTCTAAGTTGGGGAGGAGGAGCCTGGGAGAGGAAGCAGAGGGCTCGGAAGTGCTCCTCTTCAGGGGCGAGGATTCTGGGCACAGTGTGGGCTGTGGGGCTGGAGGGGTGTGAGGAGGCTTTCCAGGGAGCCCCCGCCCCAGAGGAGGCTCCTGCCTGGGGCCCGGGAGGCAGCTGGCATCTTGCAACCTGCAATTAGTAGATAAAGTCAGCAGAGGAGCTGGGAGGGGGCAGACAGGCTGAGCACTGCAGCTGGCTCGTGGGTGCTGCTCAGCCTCCAGTCCAGTCTGCTGCCTGGAAAGGCTGGCAAGAGTGGCTGTGGGTCCCCCAGGAAAGACAAGGGCCCCAGACTGGTGGTGGGTGTGCAGAGCAACAGAGAAAGCCAGAAAGATAATATGAACAACAAAGTCCTGTTATCCGATGTGGGTTTGGTCCACCCATTTGCTGTGGTTCCCATTTTACAGAGGGTAATAAAACCCAGAGCGGGCAGGAGTTTACAAAAGACACAGCCAGTGGAGAAGCAGGCTGGGCCAGGAGTGTGTGTGTGTGGGGGGGGGGTTAGGGCAGATGGCTCACTCTTGGGCATGGGTGGGGTGTGGGGTGGCCTGGAGAGTAAGGCTGGGCAGAAGGACCTTGGGTGCAGAGCAAGGACAGCTCCAGCCACCCCAACCTCACCCCAGGCTGGCCTCTGCTGCAGGGAGAGGAGGGGCCAGGCAGGTGGGGCTGCGTCTGGTTCTGCTGGTTATGCAGCCTGTCTGGGTGCTCCAGGCCCAGAAGGAGAGGCCCTGGCACTGCCGCCTGGTGCCTGCGGCATGCGGTACCAGGATGAGTCCTGTCTCTAGGTGGGGACTTTCACTGACCTCCAGAAGACTCACCTAGGGCCACCTGCAGATGGCACAGTAGGGCTGGGTTCTGGCTTCAGCCATCACCACCCCATCTCCCATGTGCCCTTCCTCTATCCTCTCCCTCCATCTACCATTCTCCCTCTCTCCATCCCACCATCCATCCTTCCTCCATCCATCTATCCTTCTGCCATCACACATCTGTTGTTCAACCATTCACTGCAGTTCCTTCCCTCTTCCCACCTTCTCTCCCTGCACTTAAAAGATGTCCATAGGCCCAAGCTGGGATTCTAGCTGTGGGAATTCTGTTCCAAGAACAGCTAGTGAGACAGGAGGGGACATAAACAGCCCATGGACACCCCAAGAATGAAAAGAGCAGGTCACGCTTTGCAGGGACTCTGATGGGGGAAGGACAGTTCTGAGTGGCAGTGCGGGGTGGGCCTGGCTGGGGCTGTAGGATCTGTACGGAAATGGAGTGGTGGTGGCTGCCCCAGTAAGGTCACGGGGCTTGGCCTCGGAGGGGCAGGGAGGGTGGGCTCTGGACTCAGACCGCCTCATTTGGGATCCCAGCTGCACAACTATTCAGCTGTGTGACCCTGGGGGAGCTACTTGCCTCTTCTGAGTCCCTGGACAGAGCACAAAATAGCACACAGATGGTGGCCCCTCTATGGGGAACGCCTGGAGGAACAGAGGCCACATGGATGACACTGTTGTAGCTCAGTAAATACTTCTGGCAGTCACCCTGCAGTGACAGGAACCCACAGGAAGTCCGAGTCCATGAGTGACATGTATGCTTGTCCCAGTCATGCCTCACACTGACTGGGGCTCAGTGCCTCCTTCTGTCACCTCTCCACCAAGGAAACTGGAAATGCCCTCAGATGCTCCAGCATTGGGCAGTGACTTCAACCAGTTGGGTGCAGAGCACACTGCAGGGACTGGCGTGGTGGTGGCCTGTGGTGCTCAGTGTCTGTGCCATGTCCCAGAGACCCACCGCTCCCAGCCTGGCAGCTGGGAAATCCGAGCCCCACATGGTCAGCAGTGCTGATGTTTCAGGAGAGGAAAACCCACATTTTGATGTGAAAACTTCCCATTACTAATATTAGCGACACATTAAAGATTTTTTAAAAGCATCATGTGAGCCAAGGCTAATGGTTCTGTTGGCAGATGCTGTGGCCATGACCACTGGGTGACTTTGGTGACTTTTGCTGCAGGTAGAGGGGAGCCATGGAGGGCTGTGAGCAGGGAAGCAGTCACATTCCAGGCTGGGAATCAACAAGCCCCTTGGCAGCTGTCGCCCCTCCTGATGTCTGTCTCCTCAGCAAGTGGAGGTGGAAGGCCAGCTCCTGTCCTGACTGAGGCACTCAGATGCAGCTCGCTGCGGGGAGACTGGGGCTATAATGAGGCCCCTGCTCAAGGCTATCTCACCAGAGGTGCCAGGGAGTCTACGGGAGCCTGGACAGGGTCTGTTCTGTGTCTGAGAATGGCAGGTCCCCTGGAGGTGGTTCTCAGGGCTGCTGTTAGCAAGGGCCAGGCTCCTAGCTCCTCGGGGTCAAAGGGCAGCACTTTTAGCCTTTTCCCAGGCCAACTTCCTGTTTGAGAGAGAAAACAGAAAGACCCCTGACAGGAAATGCTGCCCTTTCTAAAGGTCTGGCTGCTGGGGAAAGAGCCATCTAGGAGAAGTCCCCATGGCTGGCTCCTTCACCCTGGGAGCCCAAGAGAGGGGACCTGGGGCCTCTGCCATGGCTTCAAGGCTCACCCCATTAGAGTTGTCAGGGAAGCTTAGCAACAACCATGTTCCGAGCTCCTCATTGGCTCCCAGCTGGGCTCCTGTGCTAGTCTGTCTCCTCCCCTCAGCCCCCAGGGCTCTTTGAGTCCCTACACTATGGTCTCTGGGGACCTTCAATGACAGCCACACCCAGAAGACATCACTTAGTACCTCCAGCTGGAAGCCTCTGTACCATTGTATTTAACTCTTCTATAGTACCAGGCTGAAGCCCCAGCTCTCCTTGTATACTCCTGAACGCAGGGAACTCACCACCTTATGCTTGCTACAGCCCCTGACAAAGCCTCCTGCAGGAAGCTGGCCCTGGTGTCACAGCATATCTGAAGTGCCTCATCAAGGCAGATGCCCTGAATGTCACCTTGATGTGGAAAGATTTGAAAGCATCTGTTTTCTTGTGTG